TAAACTAAACGTTCACCAAAAAACTTTAGTGAGAAAAATCGAAAAAACGAACTACAAACATATTAACGCCAAACATTCGGTAGAATTTATAGAATATTGTATATATATATATATATATATATATATATATATATATATATATATATATATATATTAAACATTGTGTAGACCTTTAGACGTTTCTTATGGTTTTAAAAACTGTTAGAAGGAGGTAAATCTTGTTTTCGCATTCTGTGCTAAGGTGTTGGTTGTTGTTGTATGTATGTGTGTATGTATGTATGTATGTATGTATGTATGTATGTATGTATGTATGTATGTATGTATGTGTGTGTGTGTCTGTGTGAATGTGCATACCTGTGTGTATGTATGTTTGTGTGTGTGTTTATATATATTTGAATGGATCCATTAATGTCTGTTTGGAAGGGTATAAATCATCATCATAGGGCCGAGCCGTTAACACAACAAAACTGTCAAAATAAACACATGCGAAGTGCAAGCCATGCATCTCAATTAAGCATTGGCTATCGCTCGCTCTGTGTTTATCTATGTTGATCAGTGTTGCCAGCAATAAAGAAGTTGTTAGGCGAGTTACATGCTGCAAAAAAGAATTTGTAATTTTTTCAATTTTTGAAGATTAGGCAAATTCTTAGTTAAAATTCTAAAATTCTAGAAAATAAATCATAACAAACATGTTCTCATAGACCAAATCTAAACGTGTTTAATAGGTACAAGATACCAAAGGGATATAAACGAGTATCAGCCTAACTGATAAGATGGAGCAAGAAACTGAGAAAAATTAATGATTCGTTGATAGATCCGACGTCAGATATTGATAAGATATTAAGCCGCTTGGTACCAGTAACCTATGTTAGTCAAAAAAAATATCTTTTCTAAATTATTAACTCTATTTTTTATAGAATGTGCATATAAATTACATTGTATAATATAGATCGTAACATCAGATCGTACGGTGTTTGATAGATTTGAACATATTGAGAGTTTCAATAATATTTTAATTTAACTTTTCATTCTAATATCTCAATATTAAAAAATATATATACAAAAAAAAAATCATTGAAAAAATGCATTACAACATGGACGAATTAATTAATGAGACCGTTGAATCATCATTCAATTAGCGGTTTGAAAATATGATAATATAACAATGAAACGGTAAAAAATGCCAAAAACATTAATTAACAAACATTTGCAACAACAAATTGCATAAAAAACATATGCAAGTTAAAATGAATGCATCGAGCAGAGATGTTGAAAATATAGAAAAAAAAATCTAGAGATGAAACCTAGTAAAAAGAAGGTAGCTATAGTATTTTTTAGTTGCTGTTGCAAGAAAATCTACAGTAATTGGTGTCAGTGTTACGTAACAACGTTAAGACCAAAACAAAAGTTTGAATTCAATCGAAAGAGGTTTTAATTGGATGATAAACAAATTAACAAAGTGAATAAAAAAAAGGAAAAGAGAGAAATTGCAGACGACAGACGGAATGATTAAGTGGATTACAAAAATATACGAACGTGGGAATCGGTTGATAGTTCCCTGTTGAATTTGTACGTTGATTTGATAGATCGCTTCGATAATCGTCGGTGCTTTACGAGGTAGAAGTCGTCCATCACCTGTTCGAGTGTTTAAATTTTAACGTTCGTGTGTGTGTGTGGAGTGTAGAGTTCTGAATGTGGACCGTGAGTGCGTGCGTGTGTGTGTTTGTGTGTGTATGTGTGTTGTGTGTGTGTGTGTGTTATAGAAAAAAAAAGAAAAAAAAAGAGTTTATAAAGTGTTGAATGTAGAGAGAGAGATAGAGAGACAGAGAGAGACAGAAAGAGAGAGAGAGAGTGAGAGAGAGAGTTTCTGTGGGTGTGGTGTGTGCGTGTGTGTGTGTGTCGTGTTGAAGGAGTGTTGTTAGTGTTGTTTATTGATATTTATTGTGTTGACGGTTAAGCAATGAGCTTGCCATGTTACGTAGTGTTGAAATTTAATTTATTTCAATTTATTGAATGTTGGAAGTTTGTCAATGTTTAAAATTTTATAAAAATGTTGCCCAAAAATGCAGTGATATTAAAGATTATCATTTATAGTGGAAAGTCTCAAAATCCAAATCCAATAAAATTTCTGTCGCTAAGATTGCAATCACAAGATCTGAGTATGAAAAATATTATTAAAAAACAACATGAACTCAGGTAACAAATTTTTTGTAAAACATTTCAAACATTAAGCATAAAATAAACATCAGCGCGAAATTAGAAACATGCAGACAACACGCACGCAGAAGAGAGCCAGTTTATTGAATGGCGCCCATAGTGATACATACCCCAACTACCCAGCCATAATCATAAGCAGAGGTTGAAAACAGTAACAGCTAAATGATGCAACAGCAAATTGAAATGAAAACAATTGGAAACATTAAACATTTAAAAATCAAAAGTTAAGCACAACATACAAATACAGACGCACCGTCATGAACTGACACAGACACACAGAACC